CGGCTTGTTTTTCTAACGTGAAGATGCGAGTCCCTTTCATTTTTAATGACTTTGCCGAGACTATTGGGGGGGGGGGGGTCTCATTTCAGCCAGGCCCCGATTCGTGTTATTCTGCGACTCGCTGTTCAGTCTCCAAGGCTGCATCGGCAGCTGATTGTTTTTGCTATTTCTTTTGCTTTTATACTTGAAAGGACCACCCAAAAGGCCCAGGGTGGGGGGGGGTGGGGGGCGTGTTCCCTGAGCCGCATCTGTGAAGAATAATAATGGGTTCCTCCTGGGAAAACTGCCCGCAGAAAAGGCTCGTCCAAAAACCTAAAATAAATAAGAGCCCATTTTACATTAGCTTCAGGAGCGACCAGTAGCTTGCCCCTGTGGCAGAAATGAGTCCCTTCTCCACGCCACCTCCTTCATCATGGATGCCTAAGGACTCTCGTCCACCTTCCCATAATGCTCTGGGATCAGAGGACTGGCAACTGCAAGGGCCCCGCGGACCTGCGGATTGCACTGCGGTGGCGATGAGTCACATGGGCTTGGTCCATACCACTCGCCCCCACCTGTCATGGTGGGCTCTCGGAACCGGTTTGACATGCTGAAGAGCTCATGACCGTGGGCTAGGAAACCACAGCGACAATCCACTATCCCTACAGGCCTTCATTTGGAGCTGAGCACAAGCACACGTGTGTCTGCCAGGCTCCGCCGCAGCCCGTCCAGAAATCCGTGTCCTGCCACTTCCTAGACATAACCGTAAGCTCCCGATGGCATTCGTCTCAGTTTATCATGAGGGTGGCTCCTTCATTTCCTTCCCTCTCTCCTCCTTTCCCCTCTCTCTCTTTCCTTTGACTTCTCTTCTTCCTCTCTATTAGAGCCGTGTTTCCCATCCCAGTCCTCGGGGAGCCCCCCCAGGTGGTTCACGTTCTTGCTCCCTCCCAAATCCCAGCCAGACAGTGCTCATTACCAGGAGGTGGGAGGGAGAAAAAACGTGGACTGTCTGCGGGTCCCCAAGGACCAGGTTAGCGAGGACCTGGCATGGTGGATCTTCATAGGTATATGTTTAATTGACCCCTGACTTCTGTGATCTTCCCCCTGTTCCTGTCTGTTCCATGTTCACTTTCGTTCGATCCCCTTGGGGGCCCTAACACTGTCTCAGTAGACCCTCCTGACCTGGTCCAGATGGGGCTTGGCAGCACTCCATCCAGGCAGTGACTTCACAGAGGTCTGTCACACCAGCAGCCCGCTCACAGCGCTGTGCATGGCTCATATTTTGCTCTGGTTTTTGGTAAAATCTGGAACTCTGTAACTGGAACAGTAGAAGTCTTTGAAAGAGGCCAAAAATGCAAATGATCTCTCGGAGCAAAAATTTTGCATCAAATCTTAATATAAGCGATGCCATTCTGTTTTATTCCAACATATAAACACAGTATCAAAGGGCACAAATTACGTATTTGCAGTTCCACTTCCTGATTTTACTAGAATCCAGTGCTAAAAGAAAGCTCTGTTAAACTCAGAAAATACTCATATCCCCGTCACTGCTGCGTATCTCTAGATTTCATCAGTACAGACCATGATTGTGTGTGTGTTTGTTATTATATGTTTCCACAGTAATTATTAGTTTGGTATGTGGTCCTGCATCTTTCAGCACACTTGGGTGTCTCTGCCGATGACAGACACATTTCAGTCTGCCTGTTACTGCCTTGTTTCAGTTTGTAGCTGTTTGTTTAAGTTACCAGCTCATTTCAGTCTGCCTGCCTGCTACTTGGGCCCTGCTTTTTCTGCACTCTTTCCTGAGCTATTGTGTGCCCTGTTTTGTTCTGTCCCGGAAAGCTGTACTGCCAATGCTAGCTTCCCCCAACTGAGGGTGGGGGGGGGGGGATGGGGGTTGGGGGGGTGGCGGGCCACATCATGAAGTCTGCTTCTTTTAAGTGACTTGCATCTTTTAGAGGGACGGCTCAGACGGGAGGTGCATTCATGGTCCCGGCAGGGATCCGAGTCGCTGCCATATTACGGGAAGAGGGATTTCCCAGCGGATCGGGATGATTAATGGCGCGGCGGCGAGTGTGTGAAGCCATCCTTTCTCGTGAACGCCACAGATGGGTGACTTTCAAAATTCTCTCCATCCTTTTCTGTTAGCCCACCCTTCCCCCAGCCTGCTGACCTCCAGAACCAGTCGTTCAGACCCTGGTAGCCACTCTCTATCAAAGCTGCAGCACAGCTTGACTTTAAACAGAAAAAACAATCACATGTGCTCTGATAGGACACTTGTGACTAAGCAAAAAGCAGGAAGTGCCTATTGTTGGCTGGGCCATGCCTGGGATCAGGCGACAAAGCTATTACCCCTGAGTTCTGACAAATTGTAACATAACTACCACTGGGCCATTTTGTTGCATTTAATTTTCACATGCTTTTCAACTCCCTCTGGAGTTAATTTACATAATGTTTGCATTGAAAAATGCACACCTAGCTAAGCATACTTACTGTGGCAGGCTTCCAATCAATGAGGCGTGTGAACAGTCCCCAGTGGCCATTCGGGTTTCCTGTGTGTGTGACAGCTGATGAAGATTAACCGTCTTTTTTAAAAGCCGGTATGATATTTGAATGTCTGGTTGTACAGATCTGACCAGGACACAGACTCTTTAGGCCAAGCTCTTATATTTCTAGCAAAATTCATAGAATTCATTTTAAATCTGCAGCTTTTCCCTGCATGGGTTTGCAAGCCCACAGCACGAATTTGCTGAATCTACGTGCATCTTTTAAAATCCCCCTGTGATGACTATTCTTTGGGTCAGAGACGGACAGTCCCTGTCGACAGTGATTACGACAGAAAAGGCGGGAATTTTTCCTTGGCGTAAACCCCCTGTTGAGGAATTTTGGTTCCTTTTACCGTGTGCCGGTGTGCAGGGTGCAGCCGTGCCCACCGCCATCACCGGGACGGAGCGACCGCATCTGGAGCTTGGCGCCGGAGACTGTGGCTGCCTAGCTCATCAGCTAAGTGCTGAAATGTCACTGACGGACCACGTCCAGGCATCATCACACTCCCTCTAATTCCTCTGCTAGCCTGATGCCTCTTTACATTCCCGGAATGTTCTTTATGTTGCGTTTCTGGTCACTGAATTATCTTATTAGGTTCTTGCTTTGTTAGATGCGGACGCGGCAGCTGCTCTGATGCTAAATAAAGTTGTACCTGTTCACTGGAAGCTCAGCCTAGCTACACTTATGCTAAGTTAACTCCCCGTCAGCCATATGTTTGCAATGTGCTGTTTGCCTCACTTGTTTGTCCCTTTGGACAAAAGCATCTGCGAAATGTGTAACTGTAACTCCATACTAGATGAGAGTGTGTATGTGTGTGTCCACAAGGAGATGAATGTCCCCACGATAAAAACCTGCTATTTTAACATTCATTCGGTCACTAAAAGGGGAAACACAATCTCTGAAAATCTCTGAATATAATCAGAAGACTAAAAATGCCAAATGTCTTGTATTTTGTTTAGGTTCTTATGATTAAGGTTAGGGTCGGGTAGGGATAATGATTATCATTGTTGGCATTAGGGATTTTCCCATAGAAATGAATGGAGAGTCCCAACATAGATACAAATACCAAATGTTTTTGTGTGTGTGTATGTGTGTTATGTATATGTCACATTTAATTACATTATATGTCACATTATTTGGTTACTTATGCTTAAGGTTCGGGCTGAGTTGGGGTTAAGGATGTCATTGATAGGGTTAGGGTTTTGCCCATAGAAATAAATGGAAGGTCCCCACAAAGATATGAATACAAATGAGTGTGCGGATGAGGCAGGGCAGTCTATACACCGAGGAGGATAGACAGCCAACAGCCAATCAGGTGAGGGATCCATCTTCAAAGATGCAATGAAGATTGTTCATTAAGCCTTATGAGCCAGAGGTGAGGGACCGTTTCTCTCCCCGCAGCTGAGCATGTTTGTATGTCATCTTGTAATGAACGTACTGCATCATGCCATTACTGATGGTTTTCTTTCTCTGGGAAGAGGCATAGATCATCTCAGTGGTCCATGAACCGGCCAGTGAGCTCATGGGCTGGGGCCTCTGTGGTTTACCCTCAGCCTCCAGGCCTTGGGGCCTCTGTGGTTTACCCTCAGCCTCCAGGCCTGGCCCTCGCCCTTTGGAAAGGAAAGAAATATTAAAAACTGGGTGGTTCGCCTTTAAGTGACATCTGTGCACTTTTAGCAAAAAACTAAACTACGAACAGCAATAAAGAATGCGCCCTGCTTTCTGATTTAAGCGTATCGTTTCACCAGGTGCTACTGTGAGCTCCCACCAGTACCACCAGTATAGTCACGTTTGAAAATGTGGCTGTATTGCATTGCGACTTGGTCAGCCTGTTTTCTAAAGTGTTTCCTGTCAATGCCGCCTTTCTGGGGAATGTCCTTTAACTAGCAATCGTCTTATTCCCGCAAACATCGGCAGTAGCCTCTTGCCAGTCATGTATTTTAAAATTGCCCGTTTTACATGAAAACAATTACTTTTCCTCTCTCAAGCTTTCCTTCAATCAATGCTTCTCAGCCCAGTCCATGGGGACACCGAGACAGTCCACATTTTTGTTCCCTCCCAGCTCCCGGCCAATCATGAAACACCAAAATCATAGTACAGGTGCGCTGGGAGAGAGCAAGGATGTGGACTGCTGGGAGTCACTGAGTTTGGCTTCAGAAACATCACATTCTAATAAAGATGTTCTTTATTTAACAGTCCATAGTCTCTGATATGCTTTCGAAGAATTAAATATCGAAGTATGAGATGCTGGAAATCCCCCGTGCAGCTCTAGTTAGTGATGCCCCTTAGAATCGGAGTTCTCAAAAGCTAGGCTGAAGTTCAGGTGCTTAACATATAAAGAATTCAAAACCAGACTGGTTATTAGAAAGTGCACACCGACTGTCCAAAATTGGATCTGGGTAATTTAAGTAGAAACCGCCATTCAGTTTGTCAGTTTCTCTGGGGAAAAGTCAATAACTGAAAAGAGAAGGTGGTTTATTTTAAACACATTTTAATTTTATTGCAAACAATAGAATACAAAAGATAAGCTTCTGTAAAGACAATAACATGTTTGAACTAAGAAAACAAAAGATTTGTTCAGTTGCCAACCTCAGAACTAAGATATGTGAAACGGAATGAGAGATAAACTTTTTAAAATAAAAGTATGTTGGTAATTTCATAAAGAAAAAACTCTTTACAATGCAGCCAAAGCTTCAGATGAACATTAGCATGTTTGTTAGAATGAGAGAAACTTCCAGTATTTTCAAATCAAGTTATCACTAAAGGTAATCTGCATACAACTAGGTAATGAAAAGAACACATCTGAAACGAAAAATGTACAATGATAAATAACACGATGGTTGTAATCCGTACCATACTCATATGACTGCGCCTTAGGCTAAAGACCTTTTTATAGTTGGCTTTATATTTCAAAGGTAACTTTTCTCAGTTTAATTAGTTGTACACGACTCAATTAAGGACTAAATAGTTACTTTCAAATAAAATTAATACTAATAAATAAATTACAAAGTTAAGAGTGTGAGAGACAGATAGGATTACGCTATTGGCTGAGATGCACTGGGGACGCTTGGGTCAAAGGTCCCTTCCTGAGGCCAATCGGAAAATGGGGGGGAGAACTGCATGGTGCAGGTGGGTCGACGGCCATGCCCCTCCCCAGGCACTGACGGTGGCGATTGCCACATGGTCCCCTCACTCGCACTCGAACGAAAGCTCTGCCATTATTCGCTAAGGCCCCTGGGTGCACAATTGCTCAGAACTTCTTGGAACAGGGTCCCAAAGATCTTCCGAAAATCATACAAAAATCTTAAAATCATTATTTTTTTTTTTTTTAAATGTCAGTCTCTTCTTTGACTGTCATTAAAGGAGAGGGGGGGTTGAATCGCCACCGAACACAACATTCCAACAGCTGGCATTTCGAAAAACGTTTGGCGAGCGGGTCTGCGGTCAAAATACGTCACGAGAAAGCAGTGAAATATTTACTGTTCATATGAAAATATTCTTGAAAGAAATAAGGCTGTATAGAGCTTCGCTTACAACTGATTGAAGAAAAAAATAAAAGCTCACTTCTTTCTACAAATACATACAATCCCCCCAAAAAAAGACTGATCACAAAGGTCATAACATACACAGTACATACTAAAATATTTATATTCAATCAGTCCTCACAGAGGACCTTTTCCCATTTTCTTAATTATATCTAACAATATAATCACAACTCCAAGCATAAGAAGGCACCACGTTAGCCATTCTGATATACTTTCTGTACTTAAATTCCAGCTCCTTAATCTCTTTCTGCTGGTAATGACATGTTTGGAATGCAGGGCATGCTGGGAGTTTGAGTCTCTGGCCAAGGCTGGGCTGCCATCCAGTCTCTGGTACCCTTAAGGCCTGGAGAGCTGTGTGTACACTGGCTGATCCCAGTGCTGTGGACTGTGGGTCTGGGGAACTGAGGGCACCCCTGTAGTGTCAGCGATGGGAGTGTACATCGGTCTCTGAGTAGGGCTCATGTAGCTGAAGGTAGAGTAGATGCCAGAGCCCTGGCCACCCGCGTGACTGTAGTAGGAGTTGGCGCCGCCCTGGTGGTCGGAGTAGTCGTATTGCGTGCGGGCACCAGCAGAGTAGGAGGCGGTGCTGTAGTGCTGCAGGCTGAAGGAGCCGTAACTGACGGGCTGCGGAGAACCCTGCTGCTCGGTATAGTGGCTGGGGCTCAGCTGCTCCGTCTTGATGTGCGGGGCCCTTTGCTGGGTTTGCCCCTGCTCTCCACCAAGGGTAGTTAGCGAGTGCTGTGCAGCAGCTGGCTGCTGTGGCTGCTGCTGCTTGGACATCCAGCCGTGCCCACCACCGCCGGCCGCCGTCTGTGACACCTGGGCGCTGCTGATGCCATAACTGCCCGTGTAAGAAACGGGACCACCCTGCCCGCTTCCTGTGCCACCCATGGGCATACCCGTGTGGCCGTGGGGTGGCAAGTATTGGTCAAACTCGTTGACGTCGATAGCGTCAATGACGTCAAGCTCCCCGATATCCACATCGCGGAAATCGATGTTGAGCTGCCTGCCTGTGCCCTCCTGTAGGGGCCGCCCTTCGCGTTTCAGGTCTGACTTGCCCAGCGGAATGTCGGTCTTGGGGGTAGTAGGAGGCGTGGGGGGGCCCTGGGACTGGCCTGTGCAGAATAAAATTCAAAATAGTGAGTCAAGTACGGTGCACACTTTGCATAACTGATAGGACCATGAAAATATTTTTTCGGAATTAGAATGTTGTTAAGATAAGATACGAATTATACCTTCAGCAGAAAAGGCGAGATTATGTAATATACACACTGAACGTTTTCATAAGCAGATAAGGTGCACAATAAAGGCATACGGAATATTCACATTACAGCCTATACAATTTGTAATGATTTACAAATGCCTATTTGGTATTATAAGCGCAAGATTCTAAATTGCTTAAGAAACAAACTTGAGAAATCTACTTAGTGAAACTTTTTTCAAAGGAAGGCGTTTAATTACCATTGCTAGCGTAGACTGATATAAAATGTTTCGTATGGTATCGATTCCATAAGACCAGGAAGCGAAACTTCTGCAAGCAATACCAACTGTATCAAAGTGAAAAGCGTCCCGGATTGTGCAGGTATTGCTTACCGGAGTGCTCGCCAGAGGAGTGCTCGTCGCCCATACTGGACGCCGGGGAGTCGGCTTGCTGCAGTGCCTTGAAGATGGCATTGGGGGAGATGTGCGTCTGCTCGCCGTCCTCCGCTTCGCTCTGCCCATTCTTCACCGACTTTCTGCGCCTCGGCTGGTATTTGTAATCGGGGTGATCTTTTTTATGCTGTACTCGGAGACGTTCAGCCTCCTCCACGAATGGACGCTTCTCGCCTTCGTTCAGCAATCTGTAGACAGTTGCATATAATTATGGCTACGTAAATTATGGCAATAAAAGTTAAATGCTAATAATACTGAGCACAGTTGCCTTCTAAGCAACTAGAAGTAAAAGTTTCATAAGGTGAAATAATATAAATATTACTAGTTCTGATGTTAAATAAAAAATAAAATTGTTTACTAAACAACAGAGAGTTAAACGAACACCTATAGTTTGTCAGTGGTCGATTGATTATTCATATTATTTTACATCTTTTCAACACGCCCTTCATATATAATAAGAGCAAATTGCGCTTAGACACGCTCCGACAGTCGCTCACAATTTTCAGTTAGTTCAGTTTATCGCTGCCTCAGCGACGCGTCGCCGATTGCATATAAACAGCAGTATTGGTGGTAGGAAAACCTACCTCCAGAGTTTGCCCAGAGTTTTGCTGAGTTCCGCGTTGTGCAGGTGAGGGTACTGGTCCGCCAGCTTCCTGCGCGCAGCCTGCGCCCAAACCATGAAGGCGTTCATCGGTCTCTTCACATGCGGCTTGTTCTTGCTGGATCCGTTCACTCGCACGGGCATGGGCACCAGGGTCCAGTCGTAGCCTTTCAGCACCTGGGAAACGGCGTCGCGGATGCAAACCGGGAATTTGTCTTCCTCGTCTTTTTTGAAGTCGCTGAGCGCCCCGTTGGAGCCCACTGCATGGTTTTCGGAGGGTCTGGTGTTCTCGGTGTCGGATCCAGATCCTGACGGGCAAGGAGACCCCGCGGAATCCTCAGACATGCTCGGACTAGGGGCATCAGAAAGACATTTATCATGCTCGTCTGTCATTTTCAGAAATGGGTCGAGTAGATTCATACGAGAAAACGTGTATAAACAACTACAGCTTTAAAAAAAAACACAGAGAAACAAATTTGCAGCCCGTTGCGGGTTAAACAAAATCCTCGATTGTGCAAGAGTATCAAAGTAGTCTGTCTCGGTGCAAAAAAGTTGGCTGCAGATTAATGCAGAAGGTATCAAAAAGTTTCAAAACTTTCCCCTTCACTTAAAAATACTTCTTTAGCAGATGTTTTTGGAGCAAAGACTGAATTACGAATTGCAGTTTTGCAAGCACTATCTGTCTTTAACTGCATCTGTTTTATTGTCACCAACAAATATAAGAAATAACGTTCCACCTTCGCTTTATTTCCAAGTTGCCTGAGAAGACAAAATCTACTGGTAGCTAACCCGATTTTATAAACCCTCTGCAAAGGTTGATCTCGACAGTGATTGGCCTAGAAAATTAGGGGCGGTGTCACAATTTGATCCTCCCACACAAGTATACATCGGGGCTGCTTTAAAGTGATTCAAGGCAGTAAATATACTTCGTATAGTGCGATGATTAAAAGCATGTCATTGGCAGTCTATTTGCTGTGATCGCATTGTTAGTGTAATTTGTATTTTTTCTCAGGGGTATTTAATGGCAGGAGTATCATGAATGCTGTCCTTTTTTTTCCAATGCCAAGCTTATTTCATTCATTATTACGATTTCTGTGTAACACGTTCCGGTTTTGTAGTAGCCTACAGTTCTTCCGTCTATTTCGTTAATAAACACGCTTCATAGTCAGAATTTTGGATACGCATTTAAAACACAACAAACCCTTCGCGAGTTGTTGAGTAAATAAAACCAGTTTTATTGCGGTGTTACTGTTTGTACGGTGAAGTTCGAGTATGCTAAAATAAAATTATGTCGACTGACATTTGATGAGCCTTAAAATTTTTATGCATGTATTGTGATGCAAGTTATTCCAATGCAATTTGCAACGTGTAATATGCGTGTCTGTAGACACTGACTTTTCTCCTGCGTGTGATTCAAAATCACGTCAAGTCACTGCCAAACTGCGTGCTGTTATCAATTTTATCCGAATCAAAATGTGATACTGTGATATTATGACGTCTTAATCAAAATTCCCCTTGGATTTAATTCGAAGGCGGTAGATTAATCCGCTGTGCTGATTTTATTAGTATACCGAAAGCCCTTCACAGCCAGGAACCGAAATAAAATCACCCTCAAATAAACAGGTAATATATCATTGGCCCATAGAGGGAGACAGCAGTCCAGGAACACGTGAGCATAGTAGTAGTAGTAATCTGATTGTACAGAACGGAAGCTGAGAGACGCGAGGGAAGAGGTTTGAAGAGTCAAAGTTTTTAAAGAAAATCACAGAACTAATCTGAAAATCAAATAGAAGAATATTGCAAACGAGTATTCCTTCTAAAATCCTCGGCACGAATACAATAAAATTCAGAATTAATTGATGATATGTAAGATAATTTTTCAATTATTCTATACTTCTTCACAATATATTACAGTAGACGTTGTGTTTAATATATAAGCATATTTCTCATACCAATCGAATAAATAAGCCCATCCCGGCCGAAAATAAAAATAATAGGCTATTCAAATTGAAATATTTTAGTTTTATCAGTATGTATCAGGGGTGGTGTTGATGGAATAAAATGTAGAGATTAACGAGAATATTTTCCAACATTGGAAAAGATTGATTAAAATGTAATTTCACAACAATCGTCATTTACATATTTGGATGGGTGTAACATTTTTATATTGTCCTAAAAAAATTGTTTAAAAATTGATCATTTGGAGTAATAGATTTATCCACTTTCTGCGCTTTTAAATGAATATACGGCTTATTTGTTTTCCTGACTGACTACAGGTAAACAGATATATACATATACGCACACTTCTATTACATCTACACTTGGTCTTTTCGCACCCTTTTATTTCTATTTACGTATTTGTTCCCTTAATTAGCACATAACTTAACATCATCTTTGCCACTGTTATTAATGTACTTAAAGCACGAGGATCCATACAAAACTAAGTAGAAAATATTTTTTTTTCCAAATCACGTCATTACACGGTATTAACTATTATAAATATTGTATATTATAAATACATAATGGAAGACCTAAATGTCATATTTTTATTAGTAACGTTATCGATACATTAAGATTCAGTAATAATAACATATTCGAAATGGAATAATGGAATTCGATATTAAAGTTGATTTGGTACGATATATATATGGCAAATTATATATGTGTATAGTTAGCAGGTAGGACCTACTTCTGATCGAGGGCTGACGAGCTGTGCTTTCAGAGAAGCCATTCTGCACGCAGTTGTACGATAGCTGGCCTTTCTCGCACTTGTGGCCTTCCTGTTAGCTTTAACAAGTCTGGCTATTCTCTTTTGGCCGCTCTCATTAATATGTTGTCGGCCACAGAAATGCCATGGACTGGATGTTTTTTGTTCATCACACGAAACGTCGCGAACGGTGAATTACACATGAGTGTGCCGCAGTGCTCCGTGTTTCCTGTGCTGTGTGTGTTATTAAAACATGTCTCCGTTTCCAATACGGGTATTAAAATATATAAAATATAAACTCGAATATATAGTCCAAAGGTCGACACTATCCACTTATTTTTCTATTAATACTCCGCATTTTTTGGTTTCCTTCTGATTTATTCTTTAGCTTTTTGCCGTTTCCTTAAAGAGTTGCGTAAGTATGTCTAGTCTTTTTGACCTTGGGTGGACGCATATTTCCTGAAATCTATAGGAAAAGGCAGTATGTTTAAAGTGATCAAATTCAGATATGTACTGACACGAATGGAGAATTGCAAAAATGTAAACATGCCGTTATTCTGATTTAAAAGTGGCCTGCAAACTTGGCGTTAACTACAGATTTCTTTGTTCTTTCATTGTCTCCTCGTCATCGCGAACCGGAGCAGCTATTTTTAATTTTTATTTTTCTTAGTAGTGTCGATGTTTTTGCCTTCATATTGCAGTGTATGTTGTGTAATTGTTTATTTGGATTTTTAATGTTGTGGAAATGTAATTTTGGGAATAATGTGGGCAGCATGTGTGCTTTCCTCGGCTACCTGAAGTTTTACATCTAATGGTTTGCAGATGCCTCATTGCGTCCCTCTCTTTCCCTCTCTCTGTAATATTAAAGTACAGCTACTGCTCCCCACGTCATACAAGCGACAGAGTGAATGTTTGGCGATCACTTAACAGCAAGATAGCAAACTCTGAATCAGTCGTAACCCTGTTTTCCAAATTAACAAAATTCCTTCTACAAACAAGCAAACAGCCTTCCACTCATCAGTTGCTTGCATTTCCCCTAATAGTTTATTTACCCCGAAACTCTTCACCCACTTCCATTTAAACAGCGCATGTATACACCGAACAACCAACTTTTTTTATAACTTTGCGCAAAAGTGAGTTAGCCGCACTGGTAGGTTATTTCGCGTATTTCATTTGGTTAATTTTTATAGCATTTATAAGACGCTACATTTTCTTTAACATTAGAAAAAGTCACGTTTCAAAAAAGCTGGGAAAGGGGCAACAAAACACAGAAAAAGTTGTGTGATGCTAAAACAAAACACCTGGTTGAATATCTCACAACTAATTAGGTTAATTGGCAGCAGATCAGTAAGATGATTGGGTATAAAAAGAGCCTCCCAGAGAGGCAGAGTCTGTGCAGTGAAGAGTTCACCACTCTGTGTGGGCAAATAGTTCAACAACTTAAGAATAATGTTCCTTAACATTATATTGCAAAGAATCTGGGAATTTCATTGTCTGCGGTACATAATATCATTAAAAGATTCAGAGAATCCAAAAAGATCTCTATATGCAAGACTGAAAACCAATATTTGATAGCCGTGATCTTCGGGTCCTAAGGCAGCACTGCATTAAAAACAGACACGATTCTATAGTGGAAAGCACTGCATGGGCTCAGGAACCCATCCGAAAGCCATTGTCTGTAAACACAGTTCGTCGCTGCATCCGAAAATGCAGGATGAAACTGTGCCCTGCAAAGAAGAAACGTCTAAACGTGATCCAGAGACATCGCTGACTTCTCTGGGCCTGAGCTCTTCTAAGATGGACTGAGGCAAAATGGGAAACTGTCCTGTGGTCTGATGAATCAAAATTATTTTTGGAGATCATAGACACCACATCCTCTGGGCTAAAGAGCAGAGGGGACCATCCAGCTTGTTACCAGAGAGCAGTTGAAAAGCCAGCATCCATCATGGCTTGGGGGTGCATTAGTGCCCATGGCTTGGGTAGCTTGCACATGTCGGAAGGCCCTATTAATGCAGAAGGATATATACAGGTTTTGGAGCAACATATGCTGCCATCCAGACAGTGTCTTTGTTAGAGAAGGCCGTGTATGTTTCAGTAAGACAATGTGAAACCGCATTCTGCGCGTGTTACAACAGCATGGCTTCGTAGTAGAAGAGTCCGAGTGTAAGACTGGCCTCCCTGCAATTTCACAGTTTCAATATTTGATATATTGCCTTTGTTCTCTTTTCAATTATATATGGGTTTATATCAGTTTAAAATCATTGCATTCTGTTTTTTACATTGTTCACAGAATCCCAACTTTTCTGGAAACAGGGTTGTAGTTCTGATTGTTTTTCTTTTCTTTTCCAAAGATTTCCAAAACAACACCTACGCGACAACCTGTCAAAATGCCAAGTTAAAAAAAAAAATCACATTGACAGGAAAACATATGGCATCCAAGGACTCTCATCCAAATAGATTGTGCTGGCAGCTAAAATTCATTAAAATTAATGCTGGTATGTAGAAATGTCTGTTAATAAATAAAATTTAGCTACACAGATAGATCGTAAATTACGTTCCGGGACGTGTGTGCACTGCAACGCAACGTTTTCAAACACGTTGTATCTACAACCCCCCCCCCCCTCAGCATATCAATGGCTATGGGTATGACCTCAGATTTTAATTAAAACCAGGGTTTGATTGGTCTGTCAGCTGCACTTGTAATTACAGGTCTGATTTTAATCACTCATGTCTGAGAAGGCAGTGAGCAGGCAGGCTCATCTACGCACACCAAGCCTCTATCCCGACAGAGCCGAAGCAGCTGTAAGAAAAATGACACAATTCCAAAAATGGTGGCATACAACTTTGTTACCTCTGTTAATCATTGTTTATCCCTCTATCCCATTTGTTTATCACTGACGATCCCTATCATCTTTAGTTATGACCCAGATCGTATGAATTTATAGCTCATTTAAAGTCTTTGGAAAACATCCCTGTCTTTTCAATATAGTTTGTGCAGACTAATTTATAAATTGCGTATTGTTTCATTAACCTTGATGGAAATGCACAGATTTGCATGTAAGTAATGACTTAATGATGAAG